TTCAGGAAGCTGACCTTCCTGATAGTCTTTGATAAAGTTCAGTCTGTGGTACCCTTTTCCTGGTACTCGCCAATGGGTAACCACAGCACAGCCCCACATATTTGCACAACTCCATTCGACCAAGAATTTTCCAAACTCGTCTTCGTCCTCTGGAAACGAAAGTTGGAATTTTCAGAATCCTGAAATATCATACCCAGTTGATTCAGTCCTCTCGCTTCTCGCGACCTCATAGGTTGCCGGGTATGCTTGTAAAACCATGGTCGCATTGCTTACCGCCCTATCTAATTGCTTTGATGTTGTTTCGAGAATAGGAGGTTCTGATCGAGCTGTTTTGAACTGGTTGTATAAAGATGCCAGTCATCCCAAATTCCACCTTAAGAGAGACTGTTGCCGGTCGAACACTAACATTAGGTTATTACCTTCGGTAGGAATCGGTTGAAGTCAAGAGGTCTGACAAACACCGTGTAAGGCATAAGACCGCATTCACTGATCTTCTGAGCAGTGGCGTGGACTCTGCTTGGGTATTTAGATACTTTTTCTATCTCCGTTCTCGATTGATTTCCAGTAGCCACCATCTGCAACATTACCTCTTCGATGTTTTATTCTTCAGATAGAGCGTGCATTTACTGGAACATTCGTATCTATTACCGATGCGCTTGATGCCCATCAGCTGATTTTAGCAACATTTCGGTCACATGCATAGGACTCGACTGGTAGGAGTCTCACGATTGATTAGACAGTGTTTACACCTTGCGTCACACCATATCGGTTCGGAATCTGACTACGGTCTGACTTTAAGCGGTTACGACCAGTTAGGCGACTCTGTAAGAAAACGCACGGTGACTGGGATTAGAGCGACCGACTGAAGCACCCAACTGATGCATTGTTGGTATGCTTCCAAACCAGTAATTTAAAGGTAAGCTATCTGGCACTATGAGGTTGCAGAGAAACCTAGGTTAAGCCGTCAGATACACGCTTGAGTCTATAGGGACGTGTAACTCACTGTCCGCCCTTTCTCTCATGTACTTCTATATCTTCCTCCCACCCTTATTAATAATGCATTTGTCATTCGTCCGTTTGGACTGACGACATCCTCCGTCTTGCAGCGCTCATGACCGCGATATCTGCTGGTCAACCGAAACCGACAGTCTAAGGCACCCCAATATCAATCTTTCGGCCTCGGTGCCCGTTCTATCTGCCTGCTTTTAGTGTTCGCACTTTTAAGCTAACAGAACAACAAGCTGCTCTCGCTCTCACACTGGACTCGCTTTGTATTGATGTGTGCGGTGTATCAGAAACAAGCATTCAAGCTGCAAGTGGTTGAGCTAACTGCCCCATCACTCTCCACTCGTTTTCGGCCGCGCACCTCTGGCGATCTAGAGGCCGCGGCCGCAGAATATGCACAGGTCGGTGCCTATCTAAGTCGCCTGGCAGAAGGATCCTTGCTTGTTTGGGCACTCGTTGATAATCGCCCTTCTATGGTTCACTTGGCAAAGTCCCTGAAGAAAGCTCATAATTGGGAGGTTGATCGCTGTTCGTTTATCGTTTGTGCTTGCGCCCCAACCGACTGTAGCTCTGATACCATCGACATAAAGTTTTATGCTAACTTTATCACTCTGTTACGGTGGGATAAAGCCTCAGGTGTCGTCGTGGTTGCTGCAGATCTGAATGAACAAATGGGCAGAGTTACCGCATCCTAGTACAATTGAGTGGTTGTCTTCGATTGGACTCA